GAAGGGGGGGGGGGGGGGCTGAAGTGTTCTTTAATTTTCTTTCTCCTTCTGCCGACAAACAGCTCTTCTGGACAGAGTTGAGAGCCTGTGGCTAGAGAGAGCTAGACATCTTGTGTGGGAAGGTGGAAGTGGCATCTGTGTGAGACAGAGAGAGAGTTGTCTTGCCGTCTGGAGAGCCTTGTCCGGGGATGGATGAGGTGAGGCAAGGAACAGAACTAGACTTGGCCACCGTTCTTCCCTTGCATATGCCCTGTTACCGGACCTGGTGTCGGTTCTGAGACAGGGCAGTCAGAGGCTGCACACCTTCCTTGCACTGATTTGGGCTCAAGGAGCTCCCTCCTCCAACTCCTCTCTCCGCTCCACACAGCCCCCGCCCCCCCCCCCAGCACTCAGCGCTGTGGACACTTCCCGAGGCACCCTTGGCGGAGCTCTGGCTCCTTGTCTGCTCCCCCAGAGCGGACCTCCTTTCAGCCCATCATCCCCTCCTGCTTCTCTCAGCGGCGTTCCCCTGGGCAGGACGCCCCAATTTTGTGGCTGCCACTGATTTTTCTTCTGCAATTTTCGCCGTCTCTTTCCTTGCTTTCGGGAGAGATCGCAGGTGGGGGGTGAAACAAAATTTATCTCCCACTAAGAGCTGGGATTCTTGGGGTTTCCTGTGCTTTTTGCCACCGCGAGCCCAGGTCAATCTAATTTCTTCCTCCCAGTTTCTCCATCATTTCCGCTCCCAGAGACTGGGGGTGGGGGCTGAGGGTGGAGGTGGCAGGGGATGCCCAGATCAAGTGAGGTAACGCCGTCGTCGGCCGAGGGTCCAGAATCTTCGCCCTCCCTCCGGGGAACTTCGTTTTAGGGGCCTCCGGCCTCGGGCGCCGCGCGAGTTTGCGCGTGCGTTCCGAAGCTTTCTGCTGCCCCAAACGTCCTCTAAACTAGTGTGACAGATTCCTCTCTCTCTCTCTCTCTCTCTCTCTCTCTCTCTCTCTCTCTCTCAAGAAGGGTTAGGGATCTGTTCTGAGGCTGGAAACAAGGGCGTGCGAACGAATGCCCTACCCTCACCTCACCCCTCCCCTGTGCTTGAACCTCTCAAATGCCCGCAACCCTCCTACTTGTCACACACTAGGAACAGATTCCAAGGATCCTTACAAAGTCGGTTTCCTTGGGCCCTGAAATTGTTCAAAAACTTTTAGTCCGTTCTTTGGTAAACTCAGCTTCTGCCCAGAACTTTTGTTTTACCCTCGGTGTTACAGTCTCCGAAGAGGTCTTATTCGTACTCTTTTCGGATCAGATCTCTTGGTAAACAGGCAGGGATATTCACCCTACAGAGTAGATGTATTAGTGAGTTTGCTGTGGGTTCCTTCAGTCTTTCAAACTTGTGGGGCCTTTTCTGGGTTGCGCGGGGATTGGGGGGGGGGGGGCTGAAGTGTTCTTTAATTTTCTTTCTCCTTCTGCCGACAAACAGCTCTTCTGGACAGAGTTGAGAGCCTGTGGCTAGAGAGAGCTAGACATCTTGTGTGGGAAGGTGGAAGTGGCATCTGTGTGAGACAGAGAGAGAGTTGTCTTGCCGTCTGGAGAGCCTTGTCCGGGGATGGATGAGGTGAGGCAAGGAACAGAACTAGACTTGGCCACCGTTCTTCCCTTGCATATGCCCTGTTACCGGACCTGGTGTCGGTTCTGAGACAGGGCAGTCAGAGGCTGCACACCTTCCTTGCACTGATTTGGGCTCAAGGAGCTCCCTCCTCCAACTCCTCTCTCCGCTCCACACAGCCCCCGCCCCCCCCCCCAGCACTCAGCGCTGTGGACACTTCCCGAGGCACCCTTGGCGGAGCTCTGGCTCCTTGTCTGCTCCCCCAGAGCGGACCTCCTTTCAGCCCATCATCCCCTCCTGCTTCTCTCAGCGGCGTTCCCCTGGGCAGGACGCCCCAATTTTGTGGCTGCCACTGATTTTTCTTCTGCAATTTTCGCCGTCTCTTTCCTTGCTTTCGGGAGAGATCGCAGGTGGGGGGTGAAACAAAATTTATCTCCCACTAAGAGCTGGGATTCTTGGGGTTTCCTGTGCTTTTTGCCACCGCGAGCCCAGGTCAATCTAATTTCTTCCTCCCAGTTTCTCCATCATTTCCGCTCCCAGAGACTGGGGGTGGGGGCTGAGGGTGGAGGTGGCAGGGGATGCCCAGATCAAGTGAGGTAACGCCGTCGTCGGCCGAGGGTCCAGAATCTTCGCCCTCCCTCCGGGGAACTTCGTTTTAGGGGCCTCCGGCCTCGGGCGCCGCGCGAGTTTGCGCGTGCGTTCCGAAGCTTTCTGCTGCCCCAAACGTCCTCTAAACTAGTGTGACAGATTCCTCTCTCTCTCTCTCTCTCTCTCTCTCTCTCTCTCTCTCTCTCTCAAGAAGGGTTAGGGATCTGTTCTGAGGCTGGAAACAAGGGCGTGCGAACGAATGCCCTACCCTCACCTCACCCCTCCCCTGTGCTTGAACCTCTCAAATGCCCGCAACCCTCCTACTTGTCACACACTAGGAACAGATTCCAAGGATCCTTACAAAGTCGGTTTCCTTGGGCCCTGAAATTGTTCAAAAACTTTTAGTCCGTTCTTTGGTAAACTCAGCTTCTGCCCAGAACTTTTGTTTTACCCTCGGTGTTACAGTCTCCGAAGAGGTCTTATTCGTACTCTTTTCGGATCAGATCTCTTGGTAAACAGGCAGGGATATTCACCCTACAGAGTAGATGTATTAGTGAGTTTGCTGTGGGTTCCTTCAGTCTTTCAAACTTGTGGGGCCTTTTCTGGGTTGCGCGGGGATTGGAGCGGGAAGAGGGCCAAGGTGTTTCCGGCCAAGCACGCGGGGTTAAGTGGAGACACGACTCGCGGGGCTCTCCTGCCGGATTCCCTTTGGGACACCTCCGGCCTACCCCCAGCCTGGAGCTTAGAGACCCGAGTCGCAGAAACCAAATGGCCCGCTCCCAGTTGGCCCCCATTCTGTGAACGAGTGGACTCGCCCCGGGGTCGTCGGGCCGAGAGTGGGTTCGGTTTGTGTGGCTTCGCCTCTAACAAAGAGATCCGCAGTAATCCGCCGAATCTGTTACCAATTTCTCCACTGCCCGCTCCCCGCCCCACGCGCCCCGCCCGTCGGGAAGCTCGGAAAGTGCGCGCGGCCCGCAGCGATCTCTGCCGCCGCCTCGGAAGCACGTCGGAGCGTGTGTGTCTGTGGACGAGTGAGTGTGTGAATGTGCGTGAGTGTGTGTATGAATGTGTGCGCGCGCGGTCCTGGCCGCCGCTGGGGAGGGGAGACTTCGCAGCCTGGGCCGCGCGCGAAGGCAGCCCTCGCGACCAACCCCCTCCCCTGGAGGAAACTTGACACTTGGGGCGGGGGTGGGGAGGAAGACGGAGCCTTCTCTCTGCGGGGCTGGGGAAACCCCAGGTTTCTATTCTCCGGGACGCTCCCCGGGCTTTGCGGCGTTTTAGGGACGAGTGGGACACAGGCGCGGAGCCCTGGGTAGCGGGCACTGGGACCACATAAGCATTTCCTCTCGAGGAGCCCCAAGGAGTCTGGGCCACAAGGGCGGCTGGCAGGGATAAAGCTGTGGCGCGCTATCCCGAGCCCCTTCGCGTTTCCACGGCTGCCCAGGTTCCCTCAAGCTCTTTTCCGGCGCAGGTTCCAGGCCAGGCCGTTCTGCCGCCTGGAGGAGGCTCACCTTCCCTTTTCCGAGGAAGGGGCTCCCTCGGGGGTTGCGGGCGGCGCAGCGCGGCCGGGTTACCCTTATCAGAGATGTAAAAGGGGATTTTGGAAACCCGCTCCTCCCACCCGCACCCGCCACCGCCTCGCTCCGCCGCCGCCGCCTACAGGTGGAGAAGTCACCAGTGGGGAGGACGGCAGCGGAAGCTTCCAAGGCCGCCCCCTGCCCCCGAAATTCTTCACGACGCGAACCTTCGCCGCCAAGGGCCCTGGCGCCCTGGAATGCAGGGACTCAGCTGAGGCGCGGGAGCATCTCTGGCCCCGCCGGCGGGGGCTCACTCGCACCGGCTCTGGCCTCGCCTTGCACCCTCACCTTTCGGGACTGACCCAACCAAGTCTGAATTGGGCTGGAGGGTGGGGTAGCGCTGTTCCAGGACCAGGCTCACGGTGTCGCGATAGAGAGATGGTCAACTCCAGACCAGGACCAAAGGAAACTGGAGTCCCCCTTGGCTTCCTTTCCCCTTTCTCCGTGGCAGCTGCCAGGAGTGGAGATCGGAGGGGGGCGGTAGGGGGAGTGAGAAAATCAGAATTTGGGGGAGGGTTGCGGGGAGGACCGAGAAGGGATCCCGTCTCTCGGGACAGCGGGACCCAGACCTCCTTCTTTCCTCTGGGGTATATCCCTTTTCTGGGGTACACTGAGTCCAAGGAGGAGGCCGAAGGCAGGGGAGAGGGCATTGTTTTCCGGTTTCCTTGGTTGGGAGAGCAGCTCGCTCTCCCCCTTATCCCTTGTGCCGCCCCATCTCCTTCTCCCCCCTCCAGTCTGGCTGAAGAGCGCTCTAAGGAAACCAGGGCTGCCCTTCCCCCTCTGGAAGTGGCTGGCCCCAAAGCGGGCCGTAAACTGATTATGAAACAGACGATGTTAATTCGGAGCCGCATTTCCCAGCTGGGCACTCGCGCGCGCGCTGCTCCCGGGGGCCTCGCCCCCCACCCCTTGCCCTCCCTCCCCCCCCCCCCCCCCCCCGCCCCCCCCCCCCCCCCCCCCCCC